TGACAATTAAAAATGTAATAACAATTGTTCCGCTTAACTTTATATCATCTTCAGGTTCCTATAAAGTTTTGTTCGATTTAAGTAGTATTTCTTACTTCATATTGATATCATACGACTGACCAAATGGATAACATCTTGGACTATCAACCAATAAATCTCATGATCGAACCTAGGATAACGCAGTAAGTTCCAAAATTTTAATCGGATCGATAAATTACAAAAAATACGTTGTGATCCGCCTTGTAAACACAAACGAAAAAAAATCATAGTCTACTCAATTGTTTTTGGATTCTTTTTTCCGAAAGATTGTTAACGCGTTTTTTAAGGCGCTTGTCTGAATGGAAATTGTAATAAACCCTTTTTGGGTATGGGACAAAAGTAATAAACCCTTTTTGGGTATGGGAAAAAAGTAATAAACCCTTTTGGGGGTATGGAACAACAGTAATAAACCCTTTTTGAGTATGGAACAAAAGTAATAAACCCTTTGAGGGTATGGAGTAAAAGTAAAAAACCCTTTTGGGGGTATGGAACAAAAGTAATAAACCCTTTAAGGGTATATTATTATACGTTTTTTTTTACAGTGTACTGCTCATGAATGATGTCATTTTGTCAGATTTGTAGAGCAGCGTAGATGCATTCTCTTATTGTAACATTCAATTAGTATTATGAATTTCTATTGAAGCAAGAATATTTATATTTTCAATTGCTAAAAGCAATAAAACAGCATAAGGATTTTCAAAATTTACTGCTGTAAAAAGGAAAAAAAATGACATATATAAAAAAGAGATGTCTATACCTACACAATTTAATTTTGTACCATCATCAAGAAATGATAAACAATGCTAATATGGAGAAGCTATTAACGCGGAGAAAAAGCAATATTTTAATGTGTTGAACATGAATCGAACACTTGAGAGAAAAAGCACACAGAACAAACAGACGAACCATAAGAGTTATCATACAATATAGAAAAGGTCATTTAAACCATTCGAAAAAACGCGCTTGTGTCTCTAAGTACAGTTTATCGAGTCTTTGTATTTCGGCAAGTTGAGATTTGCTTGGCTTGATTTGCAAAACCTTGTAATCAAAATACCGCAGAATAACTAAATCAGTCAAACGTTTTACACGCGATGAAGGTACATAAACTGCGGCAATGTCATCAGTTTCATTTGGGAGTTTCAAATCAATCACAAACTTATTCAAAGTTTGACCTTGACTCTTATGCGTCGTAATAAAATAAGCAGGCACAAGTGGTAGTGCACGACGTTTAATTGACAAAATTGCTTTTCGATTTGATTTTGCTTTCTTATCTTTTGGAATGATATCGCTGATATCGACGCGAAATGTTTGTTCCACCGCCGGTATTGGAATGAGTTTTGGTTGAAGTTGTTCAAGGTTGCATTCAATCTTCGATTTCGCGATTTCAATCAATGCATATAAAGGTCGATGCGCGTATTGCGTATTGTTTGGAAATGTTTCCGAAATAACATTTTTTGATACAGAATCCATTTGATAGACAAATTGTCGAAAGATTCCGTTCATGCCGTTGATAAGACCCAGTTCAATAGCAATATTTTGTGTTAAAATAACAGGCATGCCAGGAACGAGAGGCAATAGACCTGGTAAATGCTCCGTTTTGTTATCGGATAATTCTAAAAGGTTTTTTTATAAGCATCTGATCTTCAATTGGTTTGCCATTACATGTGTCTTGGGCGACGCAAACCATTGGGGTGCATCCTAATTGCACTGCTTTGTGAATTGCTGCCTTGTGATTCAGTTGTGTTCGTACTTCATTTCGAAACACTAGAATCGGTGCCTACAAAGATGAGAATGGAAAAACGTTATTGAGGAAAAGAGAAAAATTACTTTATTCCACGGTGTATCACATAGAGAGCCCACTGATGGCTGCCCAACCACTCGTGTCAACAATAATTCATAGTCATCGTAAGTACATTGCCCATGACGAAGTCGTTCGAGCAGTTGAAGGTACCGCGGATCCTGTGTTCGCATCTGTTGCGTAAGTGTTACCACACAGTTTATTTGAAGAATTAGAGAGCGTGCAACACGTTGTTGAATTTGTTTTTCGCTTAGTCCTTTGCTGGATTTCGTTTTTGGTGATAATGAGAAATCGGTGTGCAATGGTGCATCATACACAGGTCGATATTGTAAGTAGTCACCGAAAAAGATAACGTTAATACCACCAAATGGAACTTGAGGATCGGCATGTTTTGCAGCAGAGATGATTCGGTTGAGTTTCGCAAGTAGAGTTAAACCAACCATACTTATTTCATCAATTAAGAGATATTCGACAAGTGACCATTCCTTCTCGATTTTTGAATCACCTGGTTTAATGGTGAGTGCCTTTCCAGAGTTACGTTGTTCGCCCAAAAATGAATGAATTGTCATACCATCTATTTCAGCAGCAGCAATTCCAGTGGGAGCAAGCTTCCGCATCATCTGCGTTCTTTTTGTAATAAAAAAGTATTTGGTGAGAGCACGAATCAATTGTGATTTGCCTGTGCCACCGCATCCAGGTATGCACATGATGATCTGACCATTATTGTCACCTGAAAATATTAGCATATTTCGAAATGTGCCGACTTGTTTTATGAGGATTACCTGTGCGACATCGACTGTTACCATCAAGATGACTTGTTATTATCATAAATGCAGCTCGTTGTTCTATGTTCAGTGTGAATTCACCAATGATGCTTTTCTGAGTAGGCAAGTTAGTTGTCACTGAGATTACTGGAAGAATCGTATAACCGTTTTCAAATTTGTTCATATCGTAGTTTTTCGAATCCATTGCAGTTACAACAGCACATTTCTCAGTATCCAAGTCCAGCGTACCATCCCAGTCTTTGTCATAGTTACCTGCAATCGGCCATCTTCTCGCTCTTTCCTTCTCTGCTTTCAACTGTTTTTGCCATTTCCCATTAAGTAGAACATGATTAGGTGTCGCTGAAAGGAATGGCACAAGTTGTTGATCAGTATGATCGATGAACTCATTAAAAGAAGATTGAACATGTGCTACAATAAAGTTTTAATTATCGTGGCTTCGCATCTTACTAAACACATTTATATGATACTCACTCGTCATGTTAGTAAATCGTCCAACGCTCTCGACTGCTCGAATATTCTCTTCAATATATGTATTTTCCGTTGATTTTCTAGAGGCATTAGCGAGATCAGTAGTGCGATCATCTAAATTGCCTAATAACTCAAGTAAAGCATTGCTATCATCGTCATCATATTCGCCGGCAACATCTTGACTTACTGGCAACATAGCAGGATCAATAGTGCCATTTTCGGTTTGTGCTTCAGCAATCACTTGAAGTAAATGATCATCGCGGTCTTTTTTGCATTCGTGCAAAAGCTGAATATTTTCTATGATCGTCCATGAATGTACAGAAATAAGATGTTGTTGAACTTTGAATGCTTCTTCCCATGTTTGGCTGGTATTGCAAAGATCAGATACAGTACGCCACGGCACAAAAAGTGTGAGAAGAGCTCGGCTGTACCGTTCTCGAGTATCGTCACGATCTCGTCGTGGAATCTGTGGACCATAAAGAATAGGTACATGATGCTCACCGTATTTCATCAGTAGATGTGTTGTCATTTGAGGGTGCTGCTTTTGAAAAGAATAGCGTTCATTTGGTGGTCGACCTTTTTGGCTAACTTTTTCTTCCATTGATACTGCAGTCTTGAATAAATATTTTAAATCGGATGTGTTCATTTTTTTCTTATATAATATGCTGACAAAGTCGTATAAGCACATGTTATTGATACTGTCAGAACGATATTGATAATCAATTCGTGTGTTAACGAGTACATATCTTTGATCATTTTCACCCAACTGAATATGAAACTCTTCTTCGTTATTATTGTCATCATCAAAAATATCATCGTCGACCACTGCTACATATGAAATACAGTACATTACTTAGAATAAACATTTTAATGCTATCATGCATTTGATCTTGACTGCCATTCTCTTCTACATATACATCGAATATTATGCGTAGAAGATTCTTTTTATGATTCAGTTTACCTAACGATGCAGTTTTACAAGTCCTTTAACTCTACTGATGAATAAAAAAACCTATCAACTGGATACCCCCAAAAAGCTAAAGTAATTTAATTAGAGCTTTTTTTTTATAAATGAAATTATTAGAAATTTCATTTGAAGACAATTTGCTAATAAAATTATTTATTTGATATCCTTAATGACTACATAGGATTATTCATCTACCGTTAATTTTTTTTCAAGAAGAAACCATTATGTTCAAGCTTGATTAATTATAAATACTTTTATCAAACATAAAATCAAATATCTATATGCAGTGTACTTACCGTGTTCTACAAGTTGCGATTTTTGTTTGACACGCATTTCATTTAGTTGAGTTTGTAAGAATCGTTCAATTTGAATTAAAAAGATACCTTGAAATTTGTGCGTTGTGTAATGATCACCCCAGTTCATGAGATAAGAAGCAACTTGAACGCCCGATAGTTCTTGTTGAGAAGCAAGCGTATTGTAACAGCGTAGAACGAGCTTACGCGACTTTTCAATAGCAGTTTCCTTGTCTGTCTGATCCCATGAATTTTTGAGCGATGTGATGCTTTTTTGAACAAGAGAAAATGTATCATGAAATGAAAGACTCATTTTTGTCACATAATCAGTAATGTAATAAACAAGAGCCTTTGCATCGCTCCCACTCCAAATAAATTTAATATCCATGTTGGAACGACAAGCTGCGATGAGATATTCATTAAAATTATTGATTCATGGATCAGATCGTCGCATGGAAATATGACCAGTATCAGGATCAACACTTTCTTTTTTGCTTCGTGAAGTATAGTCGCATTTTTCTTTTTGATATCGTTACATTCCTTGTGCATCTGCCTCTCTGAGTCGATAAGAGAGGAATGATGGCAGAAGGGGTTAATAATA